TTATTGTCTTTTGTTCGATTGCATTTTTCTGTCCTCGTAAACATGGTTAGAGAGACGGTGATACAGAAAGACGAGCAGTGATGCAATATGTTTCCAGGGAAATGTCACAGTGCAGGAAAATGCAGAAACTGAAACTTGGCCAACACTCCCTCAAATATGAGAGTTTGAATCTAAATGGAAAAATATCCTGGTTGACAAAAAATAAAGCTGAAATAAAAACTAAAAAATTAGAATGCATGTGTGTCACGCATGACACGATGTGTTGATAGGACAATTCTGGACAGCTGTTTCCACATTTCAGAACATCTAACGGGAAAGTATTATACATTTAAACTAAACAAACACTACTCGTTATCATTATGCATAAATGCATTTTCAAAACCTATTACAAAAATGTCTCATATTTCATGAAAAGTCTCCAAGATAAGCAAGATAAAAAAGGGTCTTCAGATGTTAACATTTCTATTCAGTTACTAGAATTTACATCCTAGTTTTTAATTATGAATTAGTCAATAATAACTTAATTACACACACACACACACACACACACACACACACACACACACACACACACATGGAGGTAGCATGGAGAGTCTGCCACAGATGCACCTGTCTCTGGCAAGATTGAAACTCTCAGCCGGTGATGGACAAGAACAGACGCAACAACGACGTAATTTCATTCACTAAAATTGGCACACACACACACACACACACACACACACACACACACACACACACACACCTCCGAAGAAACACATACTTGCAACCAACCAAGGACAGACTGCCTTACCCCAGTGTGTGTGTGTGTGTGTGTGTGTGTGTGTGGCGTGGTCTACACTGACTATATTAGGCCGGTCTGTTTACAGCACGGGGAGACAGTGAGCACACAGATACAGCTGTGATGTCACGGTCACGCTGGGAAGGCATGCCTCTACGTTCTTATCTCTCTCCACTGCCCTGCTGTAACGTGTGTGTGTGCCCTCCTGTTTCAATATGTGCGTGTGTGTGTGTGTGTGCTTATTACCCTGTGATAACCCTGGACTTTTAGTGACACACAGGGAAACCTCAGCTGACAGAACAGCACCCCTGAGCCTCGGAGAAACACCCACAGCAGGCTGAGTTGTGATGCGTTTCGGTGATTGAATTTCCATTACTTATGCGAGTGTCTCTAATTACATCACACACAAATACTTCTATTGTGACGCATTGGTTAGCTCTTAGGTTAAGCTATATAAAGTAATAGCTGTCATAACGGTAGTATTAGTAACAGTGCGAGTATTAAAGGATAATTACTGTTTAATGCAGTCTTATTTTCATGTTTTTAACATCATTTTACCTTTCAGCCTCTTTTTCTAAGTTTGTTTTTGTCACTTGCATTCCCTGTTGGGTGTCTCTTTAGAAATGATGCCACATTCCCAGGACTCAATGAACGTGATATGTAAAATGTTTATAGTACCAGTTGTCAAACAAGTATTTAGATCCGTTACTTAAGTATTAATACAACAATAAAGAAAATAGTCCTTTGCAAACACAAATTACTGATTTGTTTTACTATAAGTGATGGGTTCATCCATTAACAACACCCACCCAGTCCCAATGAAGCAGATCAGCTGAGTTTTAAACTCTTTAGAAGTAACTGTGGTTGCCCCCCCGCTTTAATTTTAACTTAAATGTTTGCTTATTTAGTTGTCAATATAAAATGTTCCAGACAAATACTCATTTAGCATTTTAATGTTGTAACTACTTTGTTGATTATTGGATAGTTTAATCTATAATGCAGCATGTGTATTCATGTGTTTTGGATGTAACTAAACTAGAAATCACACATAAAATCTATGCAAAAAGTCCAATATTTCTCTCTTAAGTAAAGTATCACAAAACAGTATTCAAGTAAATGTGCTTAGAACTTTTCCACTGCTGATTATTACCAACACAAATGATGGGAGTTTTAATAAATCTGAAATATCTCTTACAAAACTATTTATTAAAAAAATGTGTTTAGTTAAAAAAATGATAAAAATGCTCCTATAAAACGTATAACGTGACAACAACAATGTCACTAATGTATGTGTATACTGTTAGAAATTGGATGACAGCATTGTAACTCCTAAAGGAACCCGGCGGCGCGGCGCTCCACCTCGACATCCCTTCCCTGTGAGCCCCCCTCCTCCTTTCCTTTCCTCTCCGTTCTCCCCCTTTCCTCTTCCTCTTCCCTTCAGAGGTGTCAGAACAAAAAAAAAAAGAAAGGGAAAATGTATGTCTCTCTCTCTCTCTCTCTCTCTCTCTCTCTCTCTCTCTCTCTCTCTCTCTCTCTCTCTTTCTTCCACAACCACACAACATGTGGCTATGTGAAGGCACTGACTCCGCTGCCGGCTGGCCCACTCACAGGATATAAGAGCTGCGAGCCCTACCAAGGCGGTGAGGGATCACACTGTGCAGTGTGTGTGTGTGTGTGTGTGTGTGTGAGGACTGTGTCACACATGAGCTGGTGGCTGTCTGAGCGGCAACACCGACAGCAGACGCCCTCGTCCTGACGCTACAGGGTGGAGAAGGCTTCTTGTGAAACATTCCACTCTCCCCCACCGCTCTGACCAGCGTTTCCTGTTCTCACTTCCCCGTCCGTCCCCTCCCGCTCCTCGCCCTGCCTTCCTTTTTTTTTTTTTCTCGCCCCGTCCCACCCTCCGCCTTCGCCTCCACACGCCAATGTTGTCATCCGGCGTTTCTCACCACCCCATCTACCGCTGCTCTACACCCCTGGGCCGGTCCCCCTGGCTCCAGGCCCTCCCCACCCCACTGCCCCACGCCCCAGACTGGTGGACTCCCTCTGGGTTTCCTGGAGAACCACCTTCCATTATCAGAGCGAGCGGCCCAGCCCAGAAACGCCGCTGCTGCTGAGCTCAGCGGGTCCTTGTGGCCCTGAGCCTGACCTCCACCTCTGAGGATAAACTTCACTCTTTGAAACCTCTATTTCAGTTGCACTCTTTGAAATGCAACTAAAATAAATAAAAGGACCTGAATCGATCTTTCCATAAAACTCAGATTTTGGTTGGTTGCCAGCAACGACACCTGCTGCAACCTTTCTTAAGAAAGCAATAAACCGACCCTAAAACCCTCCGAGGGTGTTGTTCATTTGACAGTTTTTCATCCCATTGCGGTGTAAAGTATTGCTGAAAGTAAATTAATCTACAACTATTTGGATAACTGATGAAACAGCACAAACGCCGAACAAATGGACCAAATGCTCAATCAGATGAATCGATAATGAAAACAATCGTTTGTTGCAGCCCAAATGTTGAAGAACAAAATATTTTCACAAGACTGACTGACAGACACTGAATATTTTACTTGGAGTTGTCTGGCGCAGAAATGGCCAACTTTCAATATACAAAAGACATTTGCACCAAATCAGGAGCTTCAGTCCAACTCAATCAGTTCTGATTCTGACTAACAAGAACCTGCATTAGTCACCTGCTCATTAGCTGTGAGGAACGTGTGCACCAACCCGGCACAATCACCAAACAACGAAAATGCTCCCCATCACTTTTGACTAACGGGATGATGCATAATGTATGTGCATGCACAAAGTGTGGAATGTGAGCGTGGCATTCACAGAAGATTAAATGGACATGCGGCATGGGGCTCTGTTTTCTCGGCTCCGTCTTTCGGGGAGCAGACAGAGTGAGAAAGAGCGAGCGGTTCCAGCAGATGGGGCCTGGTCTGATACGGCCATCTGTCTCAGAAGAAGAACAGAAGTCGGCTCTGCAGAGCCTCTCTCTCTCTATTTATCTGTGATATAGAGTGATCTGGGAACTCGCAGAGCTGCCTATATAGCAAGTCTCTTATTGTCTTATATCAACACATTGAGGTTTAAATAATTAGAAAGCAGCATCACTAAGATACAGGAAGATGCAAATTGCATCCTGGTGTCCTCTGCCATCTGCTGTACTTCGTCACCACGTCTGCAATGAGCGGCGATCAGCGAGTCGGCATGTTTTTGCTCCAGACACTTTCTGTTTCCATCCCTGTCTCCCCGATCTGCAGGTTGTGCAGATGCTTCTCTCCCTGATCCTCCAGGACGAGCGCGCTCCTCCTCACAATAAACTTTCTTCCAACGCTGGCAGGGAGCGAGGACTCTATAGCGCTGCTTTTTTTCTTTTCTTCCCTCCGCGGTCTCTTGTCTGGGGGGGGGGGCTCCGCAACAGGCTGACTCACAGCCGCGGCCCACTCTGCCCTCCCACTCCTCCCTCCCACTCAGCCCCAGCCATACCCCAGCGTGGGAGGCAGCGCAGCCCAGGACCAGAGCCTCCGGCTGGGCACGCACACTCTCTCTCACACACACACACACAAACACACACACACACATAGCCAGCATGGGCCCACGGCTCTGGAGCTTTGGCTTTCATTCCCCTCACCCACTCAGAAACACAAAAAAAACACACACACACACACACACACACACATCGCCTACCCACATACCCACACTGATTTTTAGAGCACCTCTTTAATGATGTCATGTGCCTTACATCTGAAGGGAGCAGAGGCAGGGGAAACACGTGGGAGTGTGTGGGCCGTACATGCTCTGTGTGGGCCGTGCATGCTCTGTGTGTGTATGTGTGTGTGTGTGTGTGTGTGTGGGAGAATCATGCTGCCAGATTATTGTTCTTTTGTTTTTGGTTTACATTAAGTACACTAAAGCGTTTTATGTACACATGTACTGTTGGCTCCTGTGAGTAAAGAGCTTCTACTGTACTGAGGTGAGCTCAGTTATTTTTAAATCACAGCTACACGGGAGGATTTTCATCTAATGACACAAAGGACTAAGGATACTAATGAGGGTGATGAATGGTTTTTAGCATTGGAAAGTAGAGACATTGGTATCAAAATCTCAAAAACCTCACTTTGACAATGAGTCTGGTTTCCACTGGCACTGCTCCATCTGTTAAATGAATTCACGCGGATGCTGCGTCAGTTGAAGTCAAAAGATAACGTGTGATTCTTACCAGCATGGACGGAACAGGAGCCCTCGATCCGGTCAGTCTTTTGCCGCCTTTTCACCGATCACCGTTCAGGCTGTGAAAGACAGGTTTCAGAAGAGCACGTCACTCACATCGTCCTTTTCAAATATTCTCATCCCTGACACATTTATTCCACTGAAATCTAGAAAAACATTCCTTACAGGAAAAATTTGTCGATTTGCACAATGTCACACGTTTGTAGGCTGCCTGTGCTGCGAAGAGGAATAATATTCAGAAGGGCCAGATTGCTCATTAGAATATCTCACATTTGTGTGTGGGCGAGCTTTTAGCAGTCCCTCTCCCTCTCGTCCTCTCGTTCCAGAAACATTGTTCTCTGTCCAATACCAACCGGGATGCTAACCCCAGTCTGTCTGCTAAAACAAAAAGTGAGCCCAACCACTAACTTCTGTCCAAGTTTTCAAGTTCAGCGTATCACATTCGCTGTCAACTTTCGTAATACACACATCCACTGCACCCAAAACCCCTAAAAAATCTTGGTCGGTTTCTATATTTACCGCCATGCCGTGTTGGAAGTTGACATTATATCAAATCCGATTGGATGATCTGACGAACGCAATCGTCACAGAGCTCATGAAAAGAGACGCGTGTTTTTAACAGGACAGCGATGACAAGTATATTGCTTTGTGACTGTAAAAAAAAGCACAAAACACGAAACAGATCAACAATTCTGTACTGCGCAGGAAAATCAATCCAAATTATATTATTGTGTGCTGTTAGACACAATTTATACTGAGCTTTGCAGAAATCAAATACATAAAAGAATGTTCATTTGTATTTTAAAAAGAAATGGGACTGTAGACATTAGTGGCACATTAATAACCAATGAGTTCCAGCTACATGTGCAACAAGTGCCCCCTGTTGGATACAGCATCACTGTATCTGAAAGCGAAGGCGCATGGTTTTAATTATGACAGAAAATGATTTTAAAACTAAAAAAAACAGCAAAAATGTTAATAGTTTATGATATCGTCAGTGTCATTAAATTTGCAAGAGGCATGACACTCGCAATAAACAGCACCACTTCTTTGATTCAGTTACTTTTTAGGGAAGCAATCACAATAGGCCAGCACACTCTCTCTCTCTCTCTCTCTCTCTCTCTCTCTCTCTCTTCCTCTCTCTGCGTCTCTCTTCCTCTCTCTGCTCCCCTTGTCTATGCCGAAGTCACGGGGTCTCCCCCGGGGTAAACGCATTCCAAGACACAAGAATTTCCTCCAGCCCAACTCACATAGCCTACCACCTCTCTCCCCCCTCTATCTCTCACACACACACACATACACGCACACACACGCGCGCGCGGGGGCTCGCATCGCGCACACTCACGCACGTGCGGCGTGCACAATGGTCTTGCCAGAGCCAGAGAAGACCACACACTGTTGCAATGCCATGTTCAACAGTCTCACCACATTGCTAAACTATCACACGATGCCAACGCCCACCAAACTTATACACAATTATAATACAAATCTAATTAAATCAAACAGAAACAAGAAACTAACTGGCATGTATTCTACAACAGATAACCACAACAATAAATAATCTTGTGCACGGATGGCTGCTCTCTCATCCACATTTGTAGATGGTTTCGTTGAATAATAATAGTATCAACAGCTAAACATTTAAATGCCGAATGCAAATCATTATCAACAATGTGAAATTGTTGTAGGCCTACCTGTATTCTTTCGAGCCTTGCACGGCGGCTGGAGTTGTGAAGAAAAAACAACCCGACTTGCAGTCAGCTTCATCAACTGCAGAGCTCCTGGATCTATCCGGTAGACTACACACACACACACACACACACACACACACACACACAGGAGAGGCTGAAACAAAACATCACCGACGGCTGAAATAAAAGTTTCCGTAAATCAAGCTGAGACAGCCGCGGATATATGCGGGAGGAAGGAGGAGGATCGATGCATCACGTAATATTCTGCTCTATTACTCATCTGATATGAGTCTCTCTGTCTCTCCCTCCCTCTATCTCTCCCTCCCTCCCTCTCTCTCTCTCTCTCTCCCTCCCTCTCTCTCTCTCTCTTTATTTGATCTATCTGCCCGCGGGGCTTTTTCACCGGATCGCTCGGAAATGCCACTGACTGGCTCTGCTTCCTTGGAGTGGAGGCTGGCGATAAACTCACACCAGCCGGCCGCAGCTTCTTCGTACCCTGCGCCGGCCCGAGAGTCGGCCTCTCTCCCTCTCCCCCCCCCCGACTCCGGGGACCGTCCCCTGTGCGCAGTAACGCGACCGCGGAGACTAATAGCTGAATAGTGACGCACCAGTCCGCCGGTGGCAACACCTCGAGGTGCATGTAAAGAATGTCAGTGAAAGAGAAGGGGAAGGAGAAAGCGGAAATATCTGTAGTAGAGGTTGAAAAGGAGTACCCTAAAACCATAAAATAACACGAACGTGGTCTTTAACAGCTCAAACAATAACCCATCATGCACTGCAGTCCTAAAAATAATTATTTTTAAAAAACAGCAAAAGTCAGAATCAACTTTCCAAAGCAAATCCATTCTCAGCTTCCTCCCTCTTCGCATTTTCTGACAATTTTAAGATGAAACTGTAACATTTGCTGAACAAATCTCACACTTTCCGCTTATCAATGAACGCGTCTGTCTTCAGCTCTACAGAAAAATATCCACATTTTTCTCTTTGCTGTGTTTTTTTGCCTATGAAATATAAATTACATTATACACTTTTACAACTAATTTAAATAAACAAAGCCGAGCTCCCTGCGTGTTTTCAGTCAAACCACACACTAAATGTGAAACGTTGTCAAATCATAACTCGACTGAGAACTGTCTCATGCCACTCTCTCTTTGGGGAACTACACCTGCAGTGGGATTCTACCTGCTCACTTAAATTTATGCGTCTACGTTTGTATAAATTTCCTGTGAAATGTGAGAGATGGTGTGTTATTGCTCACTTCACCTGCTAACCTCCTCCCCCCCCCCCCCCCCCCCCCCCCCTTTTTTTTTTTTGCACTTGCAGGTTGTCTCATCGCTCTCACTTTGAGAGTGAAAGTGATTTGCTACAGCAATCTGGGAAATTAACAAATGTTTTCACAGGCACAGGCTTGAGGAGGTACGAGGTCTCTGAGCCGCTACACTGACAATATTACCAGCAGCACGACCGGGGTTCATATTGTGAAATTCCCTGAATAAATTACTGTGCCCACTCTTTCTCTTCTCTGGTTATGAGTACAGTTATATGACCTCAGTTTCTGCTGTTTGGGATGGGTGGTTTCTTCAATGTAAACTTCCCAGAAATATTGCGCATTAACAGTTTTTGACAATGTGAATTTAACCCTTTACATGCCAGGTTATCTCTATATCGAGGTCACGTGACACAATTTTTCAATTAAATGTTTTATTAGTAAAACCCAATGTCACAAATCATGAAATTTGAGCCGGAGGGATTTAGAATCTGTTGAACATACGACGTCCTCTGTCTTTGGGCCGTCGCATCGGATAAAGAAAAGACGAGGCTTAGAGATGAGACACAAGAGGCTTTGATTTTAGGATTTTCTTTGACTGACAATCATATGCAGATGCCTTAAAGAAGGAGAAGACATTATGAAACACTGTCAGTTTGTTTTTAAATATCTCACAAAGAGCTTTTTAATGAGCTGATTAAATGCGCTCAAACTTGTCTAGCCCTATAATTAACTGACACTGCTTGGAACTAGTTGATATTCACAATTTAACCTTTAAATGTGCTGTTTAACATGTGTTCATAATGAACTCCTAACTAAGGCAGGAAATCAGACATGACTGGATGGTTTTTTTGTTTTTGCTGTGTCATCCTCAGCTAAATAAATTTGTACGTACAGTATTTTCTCATGGTGAATCCAATAAATTAACAGAAAATCAGATGAAAATAATGAGATAAACCCTACATGAATTGAGCTTTTATTGCAAGAAGATGGCTGTATGTTTGAGAAACCCTCAATAATGAACTCATAACTATGTTTTTTTCCCCATGGCATAGACATACACTAACACACACACACACACACACACACACACACACACACACATTAATTTACAACGAGCTCACTCTGCCACTGAGAGACATGCAAAGTGTTCGGGGGGAGAATCCCACACTTTCCCCTTCATGTTTCTCAGCAGAGGCGCTGTGTTTTGGATTCGGTGTCTGTATTGATCTGACTGTGAGTGAGCAATATTGACTCCCCCCCCCCCCCCCCCCCCCCCCCCCCCCCCCCCCCCCCCC